ATATTATAATTGATTACATTATTATCGAGAATAATTTATTAATTACAGATGTAATCACATTTAAGTACTTCCTCTCCTGTATACGATCTATATTTCTCTTTCTCTCTCTCTCTCTCTTTCAATTTCTTTTTATTCTTTCTCGTTAATAATCTCAAAGTAATTTTCATTCGTAATACATATGTAAATTATGAATGATATAGAAAGGGGACTAACGATGATCTACTTCAAACGATTTCTCGTAATAAATCAATCGATCGATCGATCGTTCGTTCGATCATAATTTCTTCAACGAAAGTCTTACTTTCATATATTCTTATTAAATCAATTAACACTTTAGTAATGTAAAAAAAAAAAAGAAAAGGAAAAGAAAAAAGAAACAATGTGAGAAAGAGAGAGAGAGAAAGAGAGAGAGAGAGAGAGAGAGAGAGAGAGAGAGCGAACGCGAGTGCGAGAGAGTGAGAAAGTAAGAGAGACGGAAAGAGAGAGAGAAAGAGAGAAAGAGAGAGAGAGAGAGAGAGAGAGAGAGAGAAAAAGATAGGGAAGAATAAGAAAACGAGTATGTTCGCGCCCCTTCTCTATCGAGATTCCCGCGCCTTTCGAGGGCCCCGTCTAAGGTTATGGCTTGCTCTAGGAGTGCATTAACCCCGCTGCTGTCGGCTCGAGAGCAACACCGTGGAAGAACTTACACAGAAGCAAGAGACTGAAAGATAGAGAGAAAGAAAGAGAGAGAGAGAGAGAGAGAGACATAGACATGGACAGAGAGTTAGGAAGAGAGAGAAAGAGAAAGAGAGACAGAGAGACATAGACAGAGTCTTGGAAAGAGGGAGAAAGGTAGAGAGAGTTAGAAAGAGAAAGAGAGAGAGACAGAGAGAAACAGAGAGAGAGAGAGAGAGAGAGAGAGAGAGTAAACTAGCGGCAGTGCAAATGGAGAAGCCACTCTCTCTCTCTCTCTCTCTCTCTCTCTCTCTCTCTCTCTCTCTTTCTTTTTCTTTCTGTTTCTCACATAGACACATACACTCGCACTCTTTCTAACTCTCTCGTTCTAGTCTCGCGGATCTTGTCGAGCTTAGAACTTCTGTCCGTCGTCGTCGTCGTCGTCGTCGTCGTCGTCGTCGTCGTCGTCGTCGTCGTCGTCGTCGTCGTCGGCGTCGTAGTCGTAGTCGTAGTCGTTAGTGCCGTGTAAGCGCTTTTGCCAAGTCAGAGACTCGTATTCTGGTACGAGAAGAGTACGTAGGATGGGTTGGGAGAGGGTGAAGAGAGGGGGGCCTCAGTGGGGAGATATAAGGTAGGAACCTCATGAAAGAAGGATGAAGAAGGGGGTGGTGAGGAGGTCGAGGTGGAGGAGGAGGAGGAGGAGGAGGTGGAGTCGGTCTGGCACGGACAGACTTTCTCCGGATAGCGAAAGTGAGAGGGACCCCTCAGGACCGCTCCAACTCCCTCTCCCTCCCTCCCTCCCTCCCTTCCTCTCTCTCTCTCTCTTTCTCTCTTTCTCTCTCTTTTTCTACCTCCCCCTCTCTCTCTCTCTCTTCCTTTCTTTCTTTCTTTCTTTCATTCTTTCATTCTTTGGCTCTCTCCTTCGTTAGTTAGACAGAGATAGATAGTGAAGGTGTACAACCGAGTACTTGCTTACTTGCTTGCTTACTTTGCTTGCTTACTTTGCTTGCTTGCTTGCTTGCTTTGCTTGCTTGCTTGCTTGCTTACTTGCTTACTTGCTTGCTTGCTTGCTTGCTTGCTTGCTAGCTCGCTTGCTTGCTTGCTTGCTTGCTTGCTTACTTGCTTGCTTGCTTACTTGCTTTCACTGTGGCCCGACGATGCACTTTTCTGCGACGCAGAAACGAAGAAGGTAATGATTTCTATGCTTAACAACTCACGATCTCTTGGAAAAGGGATCGGCCAGTGGGATTTGTTTTTTCTTTTTCTTTTTTTGTTTTTTTTTTTGTTTTTCTATTTCGCTTTAAAACATATCTCTTCGGAGAAAGAACGATTACACATTTCTCAACGATTGTTATTGTTCATAGTGTCGAGTGATAAAACTATTCGGTTTTGTTTGTTTTTTTTTTTTTTCTTAATTTATGTAATAGGAAGTAAATAAGTAAATAAATGAATCTTTGTTATATATGTGTGTATTCAAGGCTCTTTTTAAAAATGTTTGATAATCATTCGATTATCGAACGCGTTTCTCTTTGACTCTCTCTCTCTCTCTCTCTGTCTCTCTCTCTCTCTCTCTCTCTCTCTGTCTCTCTCTCTCTCTCTCTCTCTCTCTGTCTCTCTCTCTCTCTCTCTCTCTCTCTATATATATATATATATATATATGTATCTTAGATTGGATTCCGTTTATACGGATTTTTTAATTTTACGATTTTTCTGTAACAAGATTTACATTCGAGTCCATAGGAATCGTTGATTTTTAATTATTTCATTGAATAGAAGAAATTCCAAATATCGATCTAACGAAATCTTCATTGCGAATGATTAGATACATATACAAAAAAAAAAAAGA